GCTCAAGGATCCAAAGACAGGATTCTTCCAGGACGGTGGAGCTTTAAATAACTCTAACATACCCTGGGGCGGAAAAGTCCTCCTAGAATGCAGCTCTGACTGGCTTGGGAACTCTCCACTCCTGCGGAGACTACTCTTGCCCACTCTACACTAGTTGTGTTTGTGCCAGGCTGGGGTGGGGCTGGGAATGGATTATAATTTATCAAGAGACACAAGAGGCTCGGCGCCTATAGCTCAACCCGCTAAGGCGCCAGCCACGTACACCTAAGGTGGCGGGTTCGAATCCCCAGCCCGGACCCGCCAAACAACAATGACGGCTGCAACCAAAAAATAGCCAGGCGTTGTGGCGGGCGCCTGTGGTCCCAGCTACTTGGGAGGCAGAGGCAGGAGACTCGCTTGAGCCCAGGAGTTGGAGGTTGCTGTGAGCTGTAATGCCATGGTACTCTACCCAGGGGGACAGCTTGAGGCTCTGTCTCAAAAAAAAAAAAAAAAAAGAGACACAAGAGTGTCTCCTGTATCTGGCCCTTCTGAGTACATTTTCACCCACCTTTACTGTATCTGCTAAGTAAAGGCCAGGAAATTATACTAAGCAGCGAGTTCCACAGTCCTGGGTTTCCAGTCTAGCTCTATCACCGGCCAGCTGAGAATAGAGACTTTACTTCCACCTGCTCCCTCACCACCACCCCCCGCTGCTAGGTAGCCAGGAAGGGGCTGGAGCCTGAGAATCAGGCCCTGTCCTTGCTGGGTGTTGGTGGGGAGGAAGCAGTCTCCAGATTCCTAGGGGGTGTGGTCTCTGGAAATGGCAACTTAGTCTGGGGCTTGGGACTGCACCACTTGTCCCTTTGCCTTCAGCATAGCCTTCTAAGGGGGTGACCCTCTGACTTCCAGAGTGTTCCCCCTCACTCTCCAGCTAGAAGCCCTGGGGAGCTAAAGGAAAGAGGCTCCAGAATTTCTTCATCTGTGAAATGTGCTGATAACAGCATCCACTTTCCACATTGTTGTGAGAAACAATGAGCTAGCACCTATAAGGTGTCCTGTGCTTGGCATATGACATACTTGTTATTCTTGTTTTTATTACTATCAGTGGCCTATTCCTAGGAGTTGGGACCTGGTTAGCAGGTCTCCCTCCCTATAAAACCCAGGCTTGAAGTACTACTTTTAAGAAGCCACATGTTTTTTTTCAACTTTCTGAAGAAACTCTAAGAAGTCTAAGTGGCTCATTTTTAAGTTACTAGGCATGTGTGCAACCACCCACAGATATTTAATGATTGGTTGGGAGGAGGGCACTGTATTAGGCCCTGGAGGCACAAAGATCAGTTGGACTAATTCCTGTTCAAGGGAGGAGAATCAGACAAACCAATAACCCCAATTCAGCCAGGCACTGGCAATGCCAGGCAGATTGTGAGGATGGGAAAGCATTTCAGGGCAGGGCACTAGAGTGTGCCAGGACAGAGGCAGGGGTGCTCTGGGTGTGGGGGAACCCTGGGGTAAATGCAAGGCGGGATGAATGGAAGAATGGCCACATACTCCTCTAGGGTGTGATATTCCTTGGGAAAGGCAGACTGAACTCTGGGACTGAGACACTGGGGAAGTATTCACCAGTTGACAGAACATTCTCTGTGCCAGAGGGAGCAAGGGGTTGGGGGCAGAGGGTCCATCAGACCTTCAACAGAAGCCCTGCTCTCCTGGACAGGTAGACTGTCCAATGGAAGAGATAATGATGAGATGAGCATTCATAGGTTCCATGCCCCTCTCACACCCACCTGCTCCCCAACCCCCACCGCTGCTGCTAGAGCCAAGGTATCCAGGAGCTAGCTGGAGCCTGGGAAGTCCTTGTCCTTGGTGGAGGGAGGGGGCAGTCTCCAGATCCCTAGGGGGTGTGGTCTCTGTGGCATCCTGAGCTTGGGGCTGGGGACTGTACCCGCTTGTCCCTTCTTCAGTGTGGCCTTCTAATGGATGACCCTCTGACCTCCAGACAGTTCCCCACACCCTCCAACTAGAAGCCCTAGGGCAGGAGACCCAGGGCAGGAGGCTCCAGAGGCTTTGGATGGGAGGCAAGGGTTGGGCCTTAAGAGACTATGGGGTCTCCTGAGCACTCTTGGGGAGCTCAGCCAAGGCCAGGGGCCCGAGTCAAGTCCACGGGAATACAGGACCGAGATGCTGGTGCCTGGCCCAGCAGGAAGGAGGGGGCGATGGGCAAAGGGGTCAGGCCGATGGAGCAGGCGGGGCATCGGGAGTTGAGGGTACTGAGTGGGGGTGGGAGGGCGAGGGGTCCGGCCGGTGAAGAGGGGGAGGCGGCCCCCGGGGAGGGGCACGCTATGTCTTTAAGAGCTGCCTGAGCGCAGGTTGCAGCTGCCTGGCCAGCCCGAGAGACAGCGGAGATTCATTACCCGCCGACACAATGACCATTGATGGCCCCGTGGCGTTATTCAAATCCAGTACCAATTGCAGCCGAGCCCCTTTCTCCGCGCCAGGCCCGTATTGTTGGAGCGGCCCACTAAAAGCCCGCCCCGGCCCCAAGCCGCCAGAGGCGCCCGATCGGGTTCAGCCTTGCGCCTCGCCAGCCCGCCGGTTCCCAGTCCGGGTCCCCGGGCGCTGCAGGTGACCCGGCGGCGCATTCCAGCGCTCCCCGCCGCCCGGGCCACTGCCACCACGGCCACCACCCGTGCCCCAGCCGCGACTCAGCCACAGGAAAGCGGAGAGCGCCCGAGCCGGTGCGTGCGCGGGGCTGGGCGGGGGCGGGGGACCCACGAATCCAGCAGTCCGGACCAGGGCTCAGAAACGCGACCAAGCCTCGGGCTCCAGCTTTCCGGATTCCCGGCTAGCCCAGGCAGGGGGCGGGGAGAGGGGAGTCGGGGTTCCCCAGGCCTGACAGAGATTTCCCTCCGACTTGGGGCACCGCGGAGATCCAACCGGCTACTTTAGGGACCCCGGGCCGCGATCGAAGGAAACGCACCAGGCGCGATGGGGATCCCCGAGCAGGGTCGGGACCCGCGTGCCTGCTAGTCCACCTTACCCGGGGATGGGCCTCGACTGTTGAGCGTCTGCGAGGTAGTCCGACACGCCACTCTGGAGATCTGGTCTGGCGCTTTTAAGGAGCCGAGTGGAACCCCGCAGGGGACAGGGGCCCTGAACTCAGGGGCTTCGCCACTGATTGTCCAAACGCAATTCTTGTACGAGTCTGCGGCCAACCGAGAATTGTGGCTGGACATCTGTGGCTGAGCTCCGTGCGCAACTGGGGCGGGGGCCGCAGGGACGGAGCTCACAGCTTGCGAGACCCCTCGGGGCGGCGGCTGGCTGGCCCCAGCGCGAAGATCGCGGCCCCAGCCGGGAGCGCAAAGGAGGGACGCGGTCCCTGCCACTAGCGCCGCCATCCTCATCCTCGTCCTTCTCCTCTGCGGGTGACCGCCAGCAGGGTCCTCCAGTCGATCGTGTCGTTTCTCCCCCTTTCAAATTTCGGCCGGAACGAAGCTGGCACGCGGCAGCGGGGACGAATATGGTCCGAGGAGCCCGCCCTCAGCCCAAGCCGCAGGAAGTCGGGGGTAAAAGAGGGAGCTGGCAGAATGCACTCCCTAACTCGTTTCAAATTTTTTTCTAACCTATTCCCCCGCCAATATTCCCCAAACAAAACAAACAAAAAAAATCCTAAACCAACCCCTAAATCCCCCCCAAAACCAACCCCTCCTGCAAACCCGCTCCGGACGGACCGATGGGCTGAGCCTCCTCCAGCCGCAGCCAGAGTGGGCGAAGCGTCGGGAATGATGCGCTCCCGCTGGGCAATCACCTTGGCTTTGGAAATAGAACTTGGACAAACGAATCCTTTTAATTAAAGAAAAATCTTCGGAGATAGTGGGGTTTTATTCGTTTATTTTCTCAAAAGCGGGGCTCAGGAATTGCTTGGGAGGGGCACGGTTGGGAGTTGGGGCTGAGCCCAGGTCACCTGTCCCTAACCCTTTCCAAGCTTGAGGCTAAAAAAATGACCCAAAATTAGTATGAAGTGCTTTGGCCCTAGCTAATTTCAATCGTGGTGCTGGCATCCCCAGTGAGCAGAGAAACAGGGTTTCCCAGCACATCCTTCTGTTCTACTCAGCATTAATCAGGGTGTTGTGGGGGAAGGGATATCCTATAGCTATCACCCTCTCCTACCCCTTGCAGGTAGGGAAAAAGAATCCTAGCAGCCAGTTTCCAGGACCTGGAATCCAGGATGGGACAGGGATCTCCAGGTTACAAGAATTGGGACAGGCTGATGCTCTAAGTGAAGCTGTGGGGGGCCATTTCAAGTCCCTTGCTTTCGAGACCCTGACCTCAGCACCCAGAGAGGGCTAGCCAGACAGCCTTTCTGGACAGCACTCAGACTCCAGCACTGGCCTTAACTTGCACCCAAACCAGCTCCTACCCATAACCCCAACATGGCCACTCTCACCCACATATAAGCCCACAGGGCCTCCACCTGCAGTAGTGCCAGAGAGAAGCCCACTGGCCAGGGTGTCAACCTATCACTCAGCTGGAACCATTTGACATTTTCATCTCTACAGGATGAGAAATTCCACCTTAAATTACTGACATCTCATAGAAAAGCAACATTTTGGGGATATGGGGAAGGATGATTTTAGCACCCTAATTCTTTTTTGAGGTCTCCTAGCCAACAAAGCTCCTTTCTCCAGATCATGGGAAGGGGCTCAGCACTCTTATCTCTGTCACCCCCATTTTGAGTTCTAAGGCTGTAGCTGGTGGGAGAAAGCCTGGCCTTGGCCAGATGGATGGAGATGCATCCTGGGACCCAGACTGGTCCACATTGGCTCTGCCACCCCTTGCTCTAGATGGCCCCACAGGGCTCCCCCATCACAGTCTGAGTTTAACACACACACACACACACACCCCTTTGCGTGAAGGGCAGCTCTGAGAGCCTTAGGCTGAGGACAGTGAGGTCATATCAGAGACCATGGCTGGGGAGACATGGGGTGCCACTCCTTTCTAAGGATGAAGCTCCAAGCAAGGCAAGTAAACAACCTAGTCTTTTATTTGCCCAAGACCAGCTGTTGCAGGCACTGAGGACCCAAGACTTATAGAAGAGAGGGGGAAGGGGGAAACCACCCTGCCTACCAGGTGCTGACTGCCCCCATCCTGCTTCCTTAGGGGGTGGGAAGGGAGAGGTCCACATTTATGCCATCAAGTGTCTCCCCGGTCTTCAGATTCCACACATACCCAGTTGTAGAAGAGCAAATTGAGGCACACTGATTCCCCCTCAGGGCTCTACTGCCAGTCCAAGGTTTAGCCTAGTCCCTTTCCTTTTCTACCCCCAGCAAAATGAGCTACAGGAAGGGTCTCAGGAGTCCATCTGGTGGCCTATGGTGGGGAGGAGGGCAGCCAGGGTCAAGGGCTGAGGGTAGGGGGAGGAGAAGGAGGGATGTGGTTAGAAGAGCAGCTGCTGGTGTGTGTGTGTGTGGGGTGTCAGCAATGAATAGGGAATCCCAGCTGGGGTTCCATAATGGTATCAGTGGGGGACAGGCAGAGCCCTCAGCTGTGCAGATGGGGAAACTGAGGCAGAGACTCCTCTAATCTTTGAAGAGGGAGGGGCCTCCCATCAGCTATTCATGTCCATTCATCTTCACCAGGAAGACACTGTGGCCCAGGGACTGGAGTGCTGTCAGGGTCACTCGTGTTGAGATTGAGACACAAGGAGCAGAAGGCAGCGGGGTCACTTGGTTGCAGAGCCCCCTTCCACTCTGACAAACCAGAGGCACCCTCCCCCCCCCCGCCTTAGCTCCTGGGAGAGGGAGCTGGGTCCTGGCGCCTGCCTGCCCCTGCTCACGTGCCTGAGATAGGCTCATTTTTAGCACCTGGCCTCTTTTCCCTGCCTGGAGGGAGCTTGGGGGACAGAGCAGAGAAGAAAGCAGCCAAGGGGGCCTGGAAGACCTGGCAGTAGGGCCCAAGGGGATGTCTGATTGTTCTGATCTCCCCGCCAAGGGAGCCCAGGCCCAGAGAGGGGCCCTCAGCCTCCATGCAGTGTGGAGATGAAGAGAATGGTGTCCTGGTCCTGCAGCTGGTAGTCCAGCTCGCCCTGGTGCAGGAGAGAGAGGAACAGGAGACCCTCAGGGGCACCTTCCCAGTTTCACCCCAGGTGTTCCAAGGGCTATGGGGGAGGGCTGGCTGTGATGGCAGAGACAGACTTCCAAAAAAACTGATAACCTATTCTTCTTGTGTGAAGGGCACAACTAGAACCCCAGATTTTAACCTTATAAAAGCAAATTACGTAGCCTAATTGTATGTACCCCCATATTAATCTGAAAACAAAAAAACGAAAACCAACAGGTGCCCTATATATCACTTGCTAATCTCCATCATGGAGGAGAAGGCCTGCTTCCCAGCTGCCTATCCCTTCCCTATTTGGGGTGGGACATGGTGGTAGCCTCAGTGTGGGGCTGGAGTAGAGCAGGGAATTATCCAGCCCCAGGGAGAGGCCCACGACTTATTCCCACTGAAGCAACCAGGGAAGGGGCTAGGGGAAGGATATCCCTGAGGTACTGACCAGCAGCTCCCAGTCGGCATCGTTAATCAGCACCAGAATTCCTGGCCGCCTGTGGGAAAGATGGTGGTGAGTAGCAGGGAGTGAAAGGCAGGAGGTAGTCGCAGCAAGGGTAGAGTGCAAAAACAGTGTGGTGGGTAGCCTTTCTTCCTGGGCCTGGCTAAAGAGCTCCCAGGAAGGGGAGGTCACAGTCTAAAAGTAAAGGAATACAGGTCAGACAGACGGTCTTTGGGACCAGATGGAAAATGGCTGCAAATGCCAGGGAACATCACCACCCAGTCCTCAGGGAAGACATTTGTTTTTCTAAGCATCAGTTTCATCATCTAAAATGGGGTTAAAATGATAGTGCCTGTGTCCCAAGGTTGGAGTGAGGATGAGCTGATGTGTATGAGGTGCTTGCTTGATGCACTGCCTGTCAGATAACTATTAGGAGAAGCACAATTTCCTAATGGTCTAACTTTACTCTCCTTGGTCCTGGGGATGAAGAACTTTGGCTTCTAGACCTCCCACATGCCCATCCTGGAGAGGAGGCCATCTTGGCTCTTCTGAATCAGGGATTGCTGTCAGTAGCCCTGAGCATCTGAATGCTCAAGAACAGTCTCGCCTGGCACAGGCACGGGAAGCCAACGTTTGGACAGGCAGTTAGACTGGCTCCTGCTGGCAATGGCCCAGGGAGCACTACTGGCCTTGGGGGAGGCCTCCAGGACCACTGGAACTATGACCTGAACCAGGTGTTGGATGACAGCCTTAGCTCCCAGGGCCTGCTGGTGACCCAGGTGAGGCAGATGAATGAACCTCACAACTGTGCTGCCCACCTCTTTAAAATGCAGGGCTGGCCTTCTTTTAGAAGTAATATCTTTCTTTTTTTTTTTTTTTTTTTTTTTGAGACAGGAGCCTCAAGCTATCCCCCTGGGTAGAGTGCCATGGCATCACGCCCACAGCAACCTCCAACTCCCGGGCTCAAGCGAGTCCCCTGCCTCAGCCTCCCAAGTAACTGGGACTACAGGCGCCCACCACAACACATGGCCATTTTTTGGCTGCAGCCATTATTGTTGTTTGGCGGGCCCGGGCTGGGGATTCGAACCCGCCACCTTAGGTGTATGTGGCTGGCGCCTTAGCTGCTTGAGCCACAGGCGCCGAGCCAGAAGTAACATCTTTGCACACGAAACCTGATCCTTGCTTAGATGCTGGGCTGGGTCTGGGACAGTATAGATGCTTTGGGCGTGAGTGCATGTGTATACGCACAAAGTCAGACTCCCTGAAATCCCAGACTTGTACTGTCCCATACAATATCTGCAAGCCACATGTGGCTATTCAAATTATAATGAAATAAAATGGTCACATTAGCCACATTTCAAAGGCTCAACGGCCCCATGTGACTAGTGGCTATCATATTGGACTGCACAAACTAGCCCATACCTCAGCTGGTTAGAGCATGGTGCTAATATTAGATAGCACAGACATAGAACATTTCCATATTGCAGAAAGTTCTATGGGATGACACCATCCTAGATAGGAGAGGGATGAAAGGAACCTTTGGCATCATCTTTTTCTCAGTATCTTCTGTATGGAGAGAGTGACTAAGGTCTGGAGAAGCAAAGTAACTTGACTAAGCTCCCATAGGAAGTCTGTGTGGTAACCAGAAGGGAGAAACCAAGTTTTCTGAGAAATTCACCATGCTCCTTTCACCTGAGATTTAAAAAAACCCCTAACCGTCCACTTTTAGCAACAATAAAACTGAAAATAGACCTCAGACAGAGCTGAATTGGAGATCATTCCTCAAAAGAACCAGGGGGGAGGAAGCAGAGAACAGGACTTTGAGAAGGCTAGGACGGAACCCTAGGGTGGCAGCCCAGACACCAATCCCTCCCTCCACCCTCCTCAAAGAAGGGAGTAGTGGGGACTCACACACTGTCTCCTTGGATGAACAGCTCTGGCCGCTCTTTTAGCAAATTCTTCTTGATCCAAACAAGGAGGTTCCGGATGTCCCCTGTAGAGGAATGCATAGAACAAACTACTGTCAAACTCAACTCATTCCTGGCCCTCAGTTTTTTTTTTTGAGACAGAGCCTCAAGCTGTTGCCCTGGGTAGAGTGCTGTAGCATCACAGTTCACAGCAACCTCCAATTCCTGGGCTCAAGCGAGTCTCCTGCCTCGCCTCCCAAGTAGCTGGGACTACAGGCGCCTGCCACACACCTGGCTATTTTTTGGTGCAGCCGTCATTGTTGTTTGGCGGGTCCTGACTGGATTCAAACCCGCCAGCTCAGGTGTATGTGGCTGGTGCCTTAGCCGCTTGAGCCACAGGCGCCGAGCCTCATTCCTGGCCCTCAGATTCCTGCTTGGCCCAGAGGAAATAAACATGGGGCCCAAGGAGCTTTTTTTTTGAGACAGAGCCTCAAGGTATCCCCCTGGGTAGAGTGCCGTGGCTTCACAGCTCACAGCAACCTCCAACTCCTGGGCTCAAGCGAGTCTCCTGCCTCGCCTCCCAAGTAGCTGGGACTACAGGCGCCTGCCACACACCTGGGCCATCTTTTGGTTGCAGCCGTCATTGTTGTTTGGCGGGTCCGGGCGCTGGATTCGAACCCACCACCTTAGGTGTATGTGGCTGGTGCCTTAGCCACTTGAGCCACAGGCGCCGAGCCAAGGAGCTTTTTTTAGACCAGGCTGGGGTGATGGCCTAAGAACCTGTGGTTTCCTCACGTGAGGAAATAGGTTAGGAGAGGTCCATGACCTGTCAGACAGATCTTTAGAGAAACTTTCAACCTACCACTGCTTAAGTCTTGAAGAAGTAATAGCATTTACCTACATTAGGGGGACTCAAGGCAAACAGCAGGAGGAACTGTCACATCTAAAGAGTTAAGAGTTCTGGAAGGCCATCTGAAAATGCCATGGCTGGATTTCTTCTGAGAGGGCCTTGAAGAGCTCCCCACCCCTTTATCTCTCCAGTCCCAGCTGGGGAGGATTCACTTTGCTCTAGGAGGGGTCTGAATATATTTCCCTTTGTGAGAGAAAAACAATTGCTGAGCTGATAACATCAGTTAATTTCCTCTGGCAGAGGGAGAGAAGGATCCTTTACCAGCCAGGGAGCTGACAAATCACTCTTCCAGTACTCCCTCCTTCCAGAGCCTTCTGGGCCAGGGGCAGCCACCTTGAAGAGCCATGAGGTTTCAGGTCCAAAGGGTTTCTTACTGCTCGGCTAACACTGAGATCTGCCTCCCTGTGGCCCTAGGAAAGCCACCAGTCTTTCTGCGTATCATGTGGAAGCTCAGAGCCACCTGTCCCCAGGGTCACATCTCCCTTTCTAGGAGTTGTATCAGGCAACAGCACACTGGAATCTGGCTCTATAAAATCTGTGAAGCCCGGGATGTGTGTGTGTGTGTGTGTGTGTGTGTGGTTCAAAGGAGTAGGGCACCGGCCCCATATGCCGGAGGTGGTAAGTTCAAACCCAGCCCTGGCCAACAACTGAAAAAAAAAAAAAAAAGTTTGAGTCTTGGGTGGCACCTGTGGCTCAGTGAGTAGGGTGCCGGCCCCATATACCAAGGGTGGTAGGTTCAAACCCAGCCCCCACCTGCAACAAAAAATTCCGGGCGTTGTGACGGGCGCCTGTAGTCCCGGCTACTTGGGAGGCCGAGGCAAGAGAATCGCCTAAACCCAAGAGCTGGAGGTTGCTGTTATCTGTGATGCTATAGCACTCTACTGAAGGTGAAAACTAGTCTCTGGGAACCCAGGAGAGGAGCTGGGGTTAGCACCCCCCCATCCCGAATCATTGTCTTAGAGGGGAGAGGGATCTGCTATCCTGGCCCCACACCTGAGACAAAGCTTGGCAGCTAAGCTGGAGAAGGCCCAAGTGGTTCTTTGCTTTTCCTGTCCTGAATCCAGAATCCTGGAGTGTAGGCAAGAGAAAGGCTGCTTGGGTTCTGCCCTCAGCTTGGGCGCTGCAGCGTGGCACACACAGCCCCAGCCTTGGGCAGGGTGTTAAGGCATTCTTGCTGGCCTGCATGCCCCCCTCCTAGGAGGCAGGAAGGCTGTACTCTGTCAGGCCTGCATCCTGGATGAACTGGTTCACTTTGCTCTGTGCCAACTTGCCTGGATCGTTCACCAGCAGAGCACAGGGCCAAGGGCAGTTCACGGATTAGAGTGCTGCTTTTCCATTTTAATTTCTCCTTTTATTTTTATTTTATTTTATTTATTTTATTTTTTTTGAGACGGAGCCTCAAGCTATCCCCCTGGGTAGAGTGCCATGGCATCACACTCACAGCAACCTCCAACTCCTGGGCTCAAGCGAGTCTC